AAATGCTTTGTATTGAGTCTTTTGCCTGATTCGATGAATGATTTTAGTAGTTTGCATTTTTTTTAGCAAGTTTCGCTTTTCTGAAAATTCTTAAGCTGTAAGACAACGATAAGTGGCGATGGAAGAATCACAGATGCGGTATTATTCGAATAAACGTTTCAAGCGGGTAAGCTATGTTTTACCCAAACTTTCAGTTAGTTTCCTCGTTGTTCATTATAAGATTTATGTTGTTTCTAAAGTACGTTTACAGCATTGAAAAACATCAATGGGGGTTTGTTTATGGTTCCATTTGAGTAGTTAAGTTGCAGAAGCATTTTTATTTCCGTCTTGATTTCATTACGAAATTTGTCTAAAGGGAGTAATGTAGAACACTATCGATTCTTGTCTTTTGCTACATTATTTTAATGTGAGTTTTTTTATCTGAATTGCGTGCGAAGTTGTAGATTGGATATAATCAACCTCATTCACTTCGCCATCACAGGACAGGACATAACGATGTAAAGTTTAATAAAACATCATGCAGTGTTTTGCCATCTCTGCAAAGAATTCAATTCTTTAACGGACCGTTGTTTTATTTCCACTTGGATAATATAATTATAGTGAATAAGAATGTCATTTTGTTCATGTTAAGATTTTAGTTCAGTTGTACAAATGTGGTATTTCCTGAAGCACGAAAGTTTGACTATCAAAATAGCCTGGATTTATGAAGTCAAACTGATTGAATTGATGCCTTAAATTTGCATTAAACAAAAATTATAGTTTAAGCGAGTGGTTAATACTTCGTTGGGTGAACCAGGGACGGAAAGGTTTTGCTTAGTGGTCAACGCTTTTCATTGTCTGTATCCTTAACGTTTTCTAGACTGAACGTGATATTGGCTGACGGTGGTGGAATGTGGTAAATTTTGTGTGTTGAGAGTCAATATGCAGTGGGTGAAAAATAATTCTTATCTGGAAGATTGAGATCGTTACACTGCAGTTGCAATGGTTATACAGATTGGCCTAGTGACTCGGTTTCGACTCAGGAATCGCCGAGTGTTTTGGCTATTAGACGAAATGTTTGCCTGCAAATTGCGAATATCTTATACCTAGAAAGTGAGTTTCTGAGAAACTGAGGCTTTTGTTATGTATCTGGTATCTGGTGGTGGTACGGGAAGTTACGTCCTCATTCAGCTGAAAAAAAAATTTTCTCTTTAAGATAAACAGCAATATTGTTTTTTCCGACGTCAGAAAATATAGGTTTTTTTGTTAGTCGATCCGTATCTGACAAACCATCTTCTAAATAAAGCGATTTACATCGTTGCTGCCTTTGCTCTGTCCTCTTTCCCAGCAGTTGTAGAATGTCGAATTCGTTAAGCGGGCTTTTGTCTCTTATGTTGTTTCATGCTTTGTTAGCGACTGGTGTGACATGTCACATTCAGGTCATTCAGAGTTGTATCCTGTGTCGTTGTTGATATTGTCTTAGGACGGGTTGATTATCTCTTTCACATGTCTGTTCAGTTTCCTTCACAGATGGTGATTTTGCAGTCTGACTCTCGGGATTGTCCATCGTGTTGCTCATGCCGCTTGATCTCCGATGTTATATTCGCACTAAAGCTCAGCTCTGTGGAGAAGGGTTTTTTTCGGACTGATTCCGTTGAACGTGTCGCTCACGTTGGTCGGTGATCATTCGTCTAAGCCAACTTAACAGACTTACCTTTATTCTTTAAGTGACAGTGCTTCCTGTTCCGATCGATATGTGTTAGGGGATGACATGTGCTTAACACCTCATCACAGTTACTACTGTAATCTAATCTTCCCTCAGCTACAGCACTACTGCTCTTGTCTGCTTTCTTGATTATTCTCAAGAAGGACAAAGCTTTTTCGATGATTTCGCTCCTTGTAGACGAATTAAATAGTTTCCGAAACATCCTGCATTCTGTACGTTAGAAGCCTGCTA